CACCTGTATGCCTAAAATTGTTAACTCTATTTTATTTGTGAAAAATTTACAAAGGAAAATTAATTTTTATAATGAGAAGAAGACTAAGAAATTTAATATATTCAATCTCAAGTATTTTAGTTAAACATTATGTTTTCACATGATTTTAAACTTTGAGCAATCAATTAATTACAATTTAAAATCTCCCCCATAATGGCAAGCATTATAATATAAGTTAAAAATTCCCACATTTTCTTATTTAAAATAATTAATATTTATAGAAGATTTTCTAAAAATATTGTTGAATAGAAACAATTACTCAAAAGGATAAAATCAAATATTGAATTAAACCTGTTAACATTTTTATAAACTAAAGCATTTTCAAATTATTAGAATAAGAAGAAAATTTTTAAGAAATAGTATAAATATAATAAAAACTTTATCTATTAACTTCATACTACAATTCTGTTCTATTAGACAAGTCTTAAATTTTATTTTGTAGAAAATGAAAGATGATTTTAAAGGAAATTACGGGTTATATTGAATTTCTGCACAGCTTCTAGCTTTTTACTATAAGATTTTTTGGAAATATTGGATGATAATCTTGCCTACTTCGGTAATCATTAAATTATTATTAGATATTAGTTGCTTAGTTTCAAGTTTATGTAAGATTTATAAAACTTTCATAAACTATGAAATGGGAATTAAACCTTTGTTTTGCATAGTTTCAAAATATAAGTTTAAGTAAGTCTAAAGTATGGAAAGTACGGCTATCGAACAGCTTGAGATTGATCAATTAATAAATTTATTTCTATTGACATAAATAGGAGTGATATCGTAATGTTGATCTATTTATTAAAATTGAATGGTTTCTTTTTTTCAATCCCTCTGTTACTTTTAAAACTTAAAAGACAATAGTTATCATCACCTCTCGTCCTATGGATGATGATACTTTGTATATATTCCAGAAATTATGTCTTTTTATAGGAATTATAATTATTAATAAAAATTTTATATTAAAAATCCTCCTTTAGGCTAACTTGACCATATTTGTATAATTTAAGTTTCAGAAGCATAAAAATTTTACTTCGAAAATTAGTTTGTTTTGCTGAATTTTTCAAGTCTTTGATTCTTTATTTTATTCACAGGAATTTAAATTAAAGCGATTATTTTCATCAGAATCATGCTCTTCGTTTCTAAAAGGAAGAATAAAATTTAGGAGTATAATAATAGCTGCTTAAAAAATAGGTTAATAATATTATGCTTTTCTTTATCATAAAGGTTCTTTAAGGTATAAACTACAAAACATAAATCGAGAAAAATAATAAATTGAAGAATTTATCTTATAGGTGTTCATTTAATACCTAAGGGCAACTATGTTAAATCCACAATCATTCTCTATGCTTCTGAAAGAAATCATTCATAAAAGAAAGTGTTGATATTTATATCCAAGAAATATATCAACATTTAATTCATTTTTATCAAAAACTAAGATCATAATTGTAATTCACAAAAATATTAGTAAGAAAATGGTTGAAATAGTATACTTAAAAATATAGCAAGAAAAATATAAAACATATAGATTGAAATAAGTAGTAGGAAACTCTTTTGTAATATAATTTTAACGAAGAATAATAGAATATAAACCTTCTCTTTTAGTAATGACTTCATTAACATAAGCCATACTGTTGAATTTGCATTATTGATAGATTTTTTAATTGTGTCAATGCCTAAATTTTATGAATACATTTAGATCAGATAGATTAATGCTCTTTCGCATTTTCTTCTTTTAATTAGCATCTCTAGTACTAACAAATCGAACTTTGGAGGGAGTTCGTTCATCATCAGTATTTTAATGAGTTCGCTATTTTTCAAGGTTTATTTTAGCTTAATGTATAAAGTTCCAATCATCTTAGGAATCTTCATCATTAAATCCATCTTCGTATTTATCTTATGTATGTTATCTTTTATTTTCTTTTTTTTTTAGTGCACTTTTTAATGGAGGCTCTTTAAATTAAATATCTTTAGAGTTGCTAATATATTAACCTATTGATTATTATAATTATTTTATGATTTCTAATCTCCTTTTAAGATATTCTTAAATATTTTAATATGATTTACATTGATCAAGTTCTTCTAATTTTTTGTTTGTATCAAATCGGATATTTTTCAATTTTTTATTTAAAATTTCTTATTCTTCGAGAATAATTTATTCCTGTTTGATAATTCTCTATATTTTATTTATTTCATCTTCATTTTCCTTTTAAATGCTTAACTGTCGAGATACATTATTATATTTTCGAGATACATCTTTAACAGAAATATCAAAGTTGTCTGATAAAAGTGAAAAACAACTTTTTTATTAATTTTCGATAGGTGATAGTTAAGATTAGACTGGTGTATTACAACGAAAGACATCCCCTAAAATTGCTGGTGAAGAGCATTTATATTTTTGGAACATATAGTAATCTATCAATCATTTTATAAACTAAAAAACCATCATTAATTGCATGTTTTGTGCTACTTATAGGAATTGCCACATTAAAGTCAGTACTCTATACTAGCCTTTTCATTTCTAAATTTGATGATATACTTATATTGTTATAATTATTACTAAATTATATTATCTATTTAAATTTAGAAAATATTAATAAAAATCACATTTAATCACCATCTCAACAATTTTCATGCCGAGCTTTTTTGAGAAGGCTCTTATGTTTTTTGAAACTATTTACTAAATGCACTCATTATCGGTTCATTTAAATGCTATACTCTCAAATTTCTACTATTATATAAAATTAATAAGGCTTAATCATGAATATTAGTTTAATCAATTTTTTTGACATGATCCTCTAATCTTACTATTATATTTTGTTTAGATTCTTATTTTTTCGATAAACATAATCCCATTATCTGAATAATTTTTACAAATAAATAATAATTTATATTAATTATTTTGTTAAACAATAATAGATTGATTCCAATTAGGTTTTTCTTAATTTTATAACACTCTAATATGAATTAATCATATATTCATTGCTTATCTTATCAGTTTTAAATTATTATTGAAAATGAATAGAGATATACTTAAAAATTAAAAAAATATATGAAGATTTTTCTAGATTTTTTTGTCCAAAAAGAACATCTAATTAATCATCTAAAATTCTGTTTCAGATCCTAAATCAAAAATCTAATTCTTTTGAAATGAAGTTTATATAAAATAAACTTGTAAACGAGATTCAATTTTTAAATTATATTTACTCACATTATAGCTCTTAAATTACATTACATTTATTGCATCTAAACAGCCTTTGAAGGTAATATAACTAATTAAATACTAATAAATATATAAGAGCTCTTATTTAAAGTATTCTTTCGTTCTTTAATTGTCTTGAGTGATTATGACTAATGAACATTTATTTCTTTATAAAAATTTAGCTTGGTTATTGATTTTTTTGAATAATTTTCCTGATTTTGTTTTCTTATGAGCAATAACCAACTAATTTCAATTACTATCAAATATATCCTAATGTTGAGTCAAAAATAATAACTTTTTTTGCTTTTTAATTCTACAACTAATAAGATTCATCACAAATCAAAACGACGAATAAAGATTACATAAATACTAGCAAACTATGCAACCCCTACAGCGCTTTTTATTATTATAAAAATCCCCTATTTTCTAAACATGATAATATTAAATTTAGTTAATATTACAAGTTACCTATGAGTATTGTTATCTCAATTATTCTTTAAGTATCTTCTGTAACTCTATTGATATGATTTATAATCAGAAAATAACTTTAATTCTTATATTAATTTTATTAGTTACTCTTCAATTTTAATCTCGAATTGTCTGTTTTAAAATAATATTTTTCAAACTATCATATTTATAGAAATTTCAAAATAAAATTACTCCATGGATGGCTTTTGAATTGAATAGAAGTTTAGAGTAAATTTTATTCGAGTTTATTATTAAATAAATTAGTAATTTTTAAAAGTTCAATTAAATTTCTTCTTGTAACATCAACTGATTTTTCTAAATTATATAGATTAATTTATGGAGTTGGTTAAATCCTATAAATATTCATTTAATTTTAATACATAAATTTATTTTTCAATCTAAAGTAGATCAGAAAAATATTGTCTATAGATGAATATTTAATATTTTTTAGGGAAGTCTATATTTTACTTACGATTTCATATCTTTAGCAGCTCTAATTTAAATATATTTCTCTATTTTATAAAGAACATAATTTTTCAATAAATTAAGAAAAAAAACTTTAAAATTTATAAAAGAAACTATGTTTGCCTTTTTTCTCCTAACTAATTTCTTTATGCCCACATTTTGATATTCAACTAAAATATAGTTAATTAAAAAATAGAGATGAGTTAATTTAAATATTATTTTATTATCTTATTGTTTGTTAAATAATGATCTCTAGTCATAGAACAAATGATGGATTGATAAACAATACTATAATCGGTCCATTTAACTAATTTGAACTCAATAACATAGATCACTATATTAAAAGAGATTCTTCTAATGAATCTGTTTTACCACAAGAACCTGACAAAATTGGGAATTTGGTTTAATTATTTAAATATCATAGTAATATTAGAATAGTCTCTAAATTGAAAGCTATAATTCATCAAGGTAACTTGAATCACTTAATTTTGAAAATATCTAATCCAAACCTAAAGCATAGAAAATTGTTAATCCGTCAGTAAATTTATTGAAAACAATGAGAAAAACGCAAAATGTTGAAAGATTCAAAAATAATTTGTTTTCTAGTGCTTATATTCTCAAAAACAGTTAGAAACAATTATCAATCTTTCAAGATGATTGCTTACTTGAGAGAAACTAGAATTTCAAACAATAAATATCAAAATAAAAAATTATATCTATTTTATGTATTTGTAAAGCTCTCTCAAATCATGTAAGTTTAAAGATTTTCTAAAGTACTTAAGAAAGATGTCTTATATGGTTCAACAACTTTTTAAAATAATTTAAACTACTTTTTACTACTTGGGAGATTTGCTCTTTTTTTTCTCAATTATTAGAATTATGGTATTGTCCATTCATCATATCATTCGGAATTTATGATCATAATTTAAAGGGAATTGAAATTTACTTTATAATCTCAATTTTAATAGATACTTTAATGATAAATTTGATTGAATTAACTTAGACAAAGGATTAAGCATCAATTGATCAAAACATTAAGTACTAAAGTAAATCTTTACAAAATGTCATCATTCGAGTTTTATTATGGATTTTAGTGTATTTGGAATTCTTTACAATAAGCTATGTTAGAGAAATTATAGGTTTAATTTTGATAGTAATAATATGTAAATCCATATATGCTAAATATGAATCTTAGTTAGAAAAGCTATACATTAAAGGAATAGATTTGAATCTACTAGATTTAATATCTCTATTTGTAACACTTACTTATTTTGTTCATTTTATTGCGTGTTTATGGCATTATATTGGTGATATTACCCAAAATTTGCATGGTTCATGGCTAGAAAAAGAGGAAATAATTGATTAAAGTATTTGGGTTAAATATAATTATTCATTCTACTGGTCAACCACTACTGTTGCAACGGTAGGATATGGGGATATTACACCTAAAAATCAAATTGAAATTATTTTTTCAATTATTGTTATGTTACTATCGAGTTGCATGTTTGCTTATTCGATAAATGAAATAGGAATGACAGTCAAAAGTATAAATGAATAAAAAACGAAATATAAGTATATAAAATCCATATATATTAAAGAAGAGGTCTAATATTGCTGAATTCTTATATGGAAAAACTCTTTGTAGATTAATCCTTACAGCAAAGAGTTCGGAACTATTTCAAATATAATAACGAAAAAGAAACTTAGGATAATAATATAGAAACATAAACTATATTAAATTAATTACCCGTTGGTTTATAGAATGAAATAAATTAAGACATAAGGAATAAGATTTCAAATAAAATCTAGATATTTTAAAACAACTTCTCTGATACTTCAAATGGATTAATCTCTAAGTAATTAATTTAAATGAAAGTCACTCCCAAGGACCCTATATATCATCTAAATGATAAATTTGATAAACATCTGTAACTAATATCTGTAAACTAGGTACTACATAGTTGAAGGGGAAGTAAATATTGTTGAAGAAAAGAGTTAAAAGATTATTAAGATATTGAAACCAGGAGATACATTTGGGGAGTTCCAATTTTTTACTGGATAAAGTACACTTGAAGCAGCAATTAGTAATTCATTTACTGAATTATTCAAAATTGATAGAGAGTCAGTTCTAAAGATAATTCAATAAAATTCTCGAGACTTTTAAAGGTTTCATAAGATCAAAGATTCCTTAATATTCAAATAAGATTTTACTCTTTTAAAACAATGCTGCTAGATGTGTAATTAAAAAAATCACTCTTCAATCAAGTGTCCGTTGATACAATACAAACCAAATTGTTATATCAAAATTTTAAAAAGTAATTTTAGCCGCTAAAATGATCGTTAGGAATTTGAAAGAAAGATATTCAAGTTTCGAACCTTATTAGAAAATGATGAAGTTCAAAATTCTGCATTTGAGTTCTAAGATGATAAGAGTCTTACTTAGTTATATGGTGAATCCGAAATAGCAAGTATTAAAGATAAACCTTCTGATAGTAATTCAATTAGATATGAAGAGGAACAAATGCACAACCCATAATAAAAATCAAGTTTATCAATAAAAAAACAATCAAAAAAAAATACATAAATTCGAACTCCACAAAGTCCATCTTAATCCATAACATTGTTAAACTCAAAAAAACAATCAATTGTTTAATTCTAGCGTAAATCATTATTTAAAGCATAATAATTCTCAGAAAAATATCTATAATTATAGTATCTAAGGGAAAGTTACTTCTCCTAAACCTTGGAAGATTTTGATAAAGTCTAGAATTATGTTGATTATTTTCCCCATAATAACCTTTAATTCATTTTAAAATTGCTAATTTTCAAGTAACTCAATTAGAAGTTTGGTTAGAAAGTATCCAAAATAAGAAAAGGGAGATCATATTGTAATTAATGAATGATTTATTTTAATAAATTACATATTTTATTTTTTTGATTAATACTTAAATTTTATTTAAATAATACCTTACTCATAACAATTTTTTCAAACAACATAGTTTCATTAGAGGTATAATTTTTTGCTTTTGATTATAAAACCAAAAATCTACGTGTAATATAATACAAAAACTAGAATCCAACTTTAGAATTAATATATTAATAATTAATTAATGTTAATATTGATAGTGTTGTCATTGGCTTATGCTCAAATGTAGGATGAACAATAATTGACAAATGCAGCTTGCGTCATCTTTTCTAGATACTATTTACAATCTAATTAGGAGTTAGCAGGTAGGGCTGTAGGGGAAATGATTCAACAAGGATTAACATAAGAAGAGGCAGTAATGTTTGCTGTTGCTTCCTTAGTTGAATAATGTTTAGATAGTATTACGACTCAGTAAACAATGGAGGTAAGAACATTTACAATAGTTAGATTATTCAACAATTGCAATCATAAAAAATCAATGTAGAAGCACATAAGCATTTAGTCGATAAAGCTGATTTAAGAAAGTATGGGTCAAAAAAGAAGAGTGCAAAAAAAAATGAAATTCTTAAAATAATTAAGTCTATAGATGATATGGTTAATCAATAAAAAAAAGAGTATGAGGGAGGTGATGATGGAAGTGATTAATAAGAGGGAGGAAGAAAGAGGTAGAGAAATAGAAATAAATAACAAGAATTGCCTGATATATCTATTTTTGAAGCAAAGGAATGGCTTGTTTTAGCAGCTTTTGTTTTAGTAGGTGTTTTACTATCGTATATAAGTAAATAAATTGTGTATTTATTAGTTTGTTGTGTCCCTGAGAGAAATAAAAAATAAAAAAAGGAAAAAAATAAAGTTACATAAAAGGTTGTAGAAGATGATTAATCTAAAGGACAAGAGGAAGATGAATCAGAGGCTGAAAACTCCCCTAAAGAAGTTGCATAGAGTGAGGAAAAATAGAAAGCGGAGTGATTGTATATTTATATTAAGTAAACAAAATAAATTAGTTAATCATTATTTCTTAGATAAATCGAATCTAACCTTCTTTTTTATTGGAATTTGGAACTATTATACATTTGAAACATAATGTAATTAATGCTTTAAAATGGTTTTTTTAGTGTTTGTATCGTCAGGACGTGATTCAGAAGATGAACTGTCCAGCGATCGAGAGGAAAGCATATATATTTCTTCGTCATCTTTATCTCCATTTAATTTTTGGATGCATTTGCATTCACATGTGATTTTCAATACTTAGCATGAATAGCAAATCCCCATTTATACTTACATTTTATCCTTACTATCAAAAAATTCTTTTGAAATAGAAGCTGTTCCACTTCCATTTTACTATTAATTATTATCTAACTTAACTATTTTTATATCTAATTCTCCCCCCTTCTCAAACTATTCTGTACAACATGCTGCACCCATAGGTTATATTATTATAATTATATTTACATAATATTAATTCAACTTTTACTCAAAAAAAGTAAATAATTATATAACATATCATTTTTATAGACTTGATTGATTTTATCAATATATTTTATTATCTTCCTTAACCATTTTTTAATTGTATGTTTAATTCTTTATTTATTCAATTATTATAATAAAATCTTTAATATGAATTATCTAATTATTTATAATTAGTATTTTAGATTAAGTTATCATATTCAGTTGATCACTTCTTCTTTGATTTGCCGCATCTTAAGAAAACCATTAATATAGTATAAAGAGTTTTAAGTTAAAATTCTTTGGAAGATTGGGAATATATATAATAATTGTAATCTATGAATTTAATCTCCTTTAATTTAACTAATGGTTTAAATTTTGATAATTTTTGCAAAAGTAATTGCAATTCATCACTTTAAATTACTTTAATAATCTGTAATCAAACCATTCCTCATTAACACCTTAAAGATAATCATTGTTTCTTGAGTCATATCCATGATTTTAAATTTTCCATGAATTTTTCTATAATAATATAAACAGAAAATATTTGTTAATTATCTGGGAAATTATTATAAAGACTAAGCAAAGAAAGTTTAAAACAACATTAGATCTAATGTGAATCCTATTTAAATAATTTTCCTATTATTATATGTCTTGATTATATATCATTTCTTTAAATGGACTTGGAGACCAGTTACGATGTAGGTAATGCAACTAATCAAGTTTTTGGTAAAAGGAATATGCAAGAACTCATTTGGTCCGTGAGCATTTGAATTTGGTCCCAAAACTCCAGTCACTATAAATTAGGCTTTTGGATATTATTCCTTAAGAGTATTCATAAGTGGAATTGAACCTCCTTCACCTAAGGTTTATACATCCTTCTTGTAGTACAATTAGGAAGCATTTTAGATGAGTTCATCAAGATATGGTTAATTTAATGGGGCATTGAATCCTGAGCCAGATCCCAATCCAGTGATTTTGACTGTAGCATTATATGGAACATTAGTAGTTAACTATGAAATATTAAGTGATAAGAATTACAAGTTTGACAAATGCAGCTTCTGCCTCCTTTGGATCCTTAGTTGGTGGCAATCTTAATGAATATTTCAATGTAGTTTCAGGTCTGAGTACATTTCCTGCTGTTTTGGCATGAGGTAATCCATCAGCTCCTACAACTGAGAGTTATGCTTTCCAGATTCTATTCAAATATGCTTTGAAATAATCCTAAGTAGTTGGTTGAGTTGTGCCATGGAATGGGAATTTGGATAAAGTGGTCTTGCCTAATACTTCGGCTGCCTTTTAAGCTTGTAAATATCTTTCTCCTGGAATATTGACTTGGAATTCATCAATGACTTCTCCAGTATTAGGATTATCAATTCTATCTAAGAGGAGTCTTTAAATTCTAAATGATGATGGTACGACACCTGATGCATCACCTGAATGAACTCCTTCATCTAAAACTTGAACAGTGACACATGCACCTACCATACCTCTCAAACTTGTAGTAATCCATAATTATTCATAGTTACCACATCCAGAATCTAAGCAGACAACCAAATCAACTGCTCCTATTCTTTCTTTCAATTTTGCCAAGTAATGATCAATGTGTACAGATCCACTTTCTTCATCAGCTTCGAAGGTCATGACGATTCTTGGATGTTTCAAGCCCAATTCTTAGATTGTTCTGACGGCTATGACAGCTCCAAGGATTGAATAATGATCATCTGCTCCTCCTCTAGCATATAATTTATCATCCACTATTTTTGGTTCATAGGCACCCAATCCTTCTTTCCAACCATTGAATGGTGGTTGTTTATCCATATGACCATAGAATAAGATTGTACCATCAGCTTAACCATCAGATCCGTCGACTTCAACAAATAGGAATGGAGAATATCCTTCGTCCTCTAAAAGTTCTACTTTGGCATCTAATTATGGTTAATAAATAGCTAATACTCTTTAGATTTGATGCTAGCACATAGTCTCTGAATTCATATGCTGTTTTTTACAACAATCCATTTGTCAAGTATTCTGGGTCGAACAATCTGGATTGACTTGGAATCTTGAGTATCTCTATGAATTTTGGTAAAGCATCATCAAAATGCTTATTTACCAATTAGTTGATTTATTCTGCAGGAATTCCCTATTATTAATCCATATCTAAAAATTATTTAATGATTTAATCGCATTCGTAAACTGTGTTATTAATTAAATTTTACGTGATAATTCTATCATCTGATAAATACATGAAGAAAATGATGATTGTTGAAAAAAAAATAAAGTTTTCATAATCAAAAGCATTTAATGATATATAAATTTCATTCTTACAATATTATTCTTTTGGATCACTCTTTGTAATAGAAACGGAAAAATATTTCAAGATATTTCTAACATTCCTAAAAATGTATTAATTTTTAAAGAATTTGGTGAAGAATATCCAAAAAAATTATTTTTTAATAACTAAGATTATTAACATAATAATTAATATAGTGATATAAAGTAAACAAAAATATCTATGAATACATCAGGAATACAATGGTTAATCGCCATTGTTATTTAATATTCTTAAATTCTCTATTTATTAGAGAATGCTTTATAAAAACAAAATATTTAACTTTTATATAATTTATAATAAGAGAATATATTAGAAATTATAAATCTTTAAATATGATTGTGTAAATTAGTTGCTGTACTTTTAAATTTCTAAGTATTTTGCTTGTTCATCCTCTATTAATATTCAGATCCATCGTCCTTAATTCAATATTCTATAATTTCATTGTTATATGTACCACAATTAACCTTCCTACTTAATTTTTTCTTTTTTTTTTTAATAAAACATTAAGTAATTATAAATATCTCTAAATTAACCTTTCTTTTATCTTAAAATTGATGAATTCGATAATATATGATAAATGAGAGATCTAAATTTTCTATTTATAAATTTAATACCTTGATAAAATGAAATCACAATTTACATTATTTATCATAAACCCTCAACTTCTATTGGGATATTTTTATAGAAAAGAGAAAAATATAGTAAGTAGTATATGGAAAGCTTATTTAATTATTTAATTTTAAAGTATAAAAATAGATCTGCTGAAAAATAGAAGTTATAATGTTGTTATTTTACATAGAAGATGTAATTGTCTGAGTTATTCTTCTGGAATTAATTTTTAACATACACATTAATTATAAAACATTAAATTAATGAGATCAAATTCTCATTAGGTAATAGGAGAATTGCCATAAGTGAATGCTGATCCTACTCCAGACATGCAAACAATAGAGATCAAGAAAGAAGAGTCAAGTAATTGAGGCTTACTTATTTTAGCATATCGGTTTTCAAATACTAATATTTGCAATATAGAACAACTAATTTTACACTCCATTTATGAGGGTAACATTGATTAATTAAAATCAATGAAAATCCATCTAAGAGATTTAAATTATTTAGAAGAATTTAGTGAAGATTTTATAGATAAATAAATATTCCCTTTAGCCTTGGCAGTTGCAACAGGACAGTTGGAAATAGTTAAGTTACTCTTACAAAATGAAGCAATAGAAGTAAATATGGCTACCAAACCATAAGAATTGTCAGCTTTAAAATTAGCTTGTAGCAATGGATATTATGAGATAGCTGAACTTCTAGTTTAATAAGATGCAAATGTAAATTAAGCAGATTCAAAGGGATCTGTGCCTTTATTTTATTGTTTCAGCAGATTGGAGGAGGAAACCAATTATTTTGAGAATAAGCAATTATGTTTCAAATTAGCTGAATTGTTGATTGATAATGGAGCAAATATCGATGCGGTAGTAAATGCTGAAAAAGGATACACATTATTAATGCTTTTTTGTGCAGTCAAAGATAAATTAAATCCTAGAGATTTAAGAGTAAATTTGGATGTTATACGATTCCTACTCTCAAGAGGAGCATCAAAAGATAAACTAAGTACTAAAGGCAAGACAGCCCTATAGTTATCCAAACATCATTGCGCGAAGGAGGAAGTTTAAAAGATGCTCAAAGACGTCAAGCCTACTTAATACAAAATATTCTCTCATAGACCATAGATCATTTAATAATAAGTTATAAAATAGGAAGGAGTAAAAGCATCTGGAAATAGCAACGGGTTATGCTGTGGTCTGTTATCATCTAGTAGAAATAGACCTTAAACAGAAAAATCATGGTGGTAAATTTTTTGAATAAATATTAAATTTTATATATAATATTAATACTTTGAAAAGAATTTAATTTCACTTATGATCATTAGATACACGCTCCTTTATAAAATTCTAAATTTATCTTATTTTTACTTACATACTTAAACTATACTCAATATTATAAATTAATCATACTACACTAGATTTCAACTATTATGATTTAAATGGCTTGATAGTATCACTTATAATGAGTTTTTAATTATTTCTATATGCATTTAAATAATGTAATTAGATTAATTTATTTTGATTATTGAAAATTTTTCATCTAAAATATTAAGACTGAACAAAAATGCAATTTAGAATATTCTGTTAAGTTTTAGATTCATATACTAATTTATTAATAGCAATCAAATAATTCATTAAATTAAGAAAAATTGTACTTAATAATATAACCGTCAATATATTCTGAAAAAAAACTTTCTTAAGAAATTATGACAAAAAATACTTGCTTACCTCTCTAGTGAGATATGATATACCTATACACGATATTAAAGGTCTTACTGATAAGTACGAACTACAATAGGCTTTTCAGTTGTGATCACTTTAATAAATTACTGCAATTTTATTAAATTCAATTATATTTTCAAAAGGAAATAAACCGAAAATTGTCTTTATAAAATAAAATGGAATCCCCTTTATAAATATTATAAACTAATGTGGAATTAACCATTTCCCTTCACATACATTCATGCATAATAACCGATCTTCTATCCTATTTATTACATGCCTATTGTTTAAGGTTATGTAGGTTAACAGGAGATCTACTACCATAATCAAGCTATACCATAGGTAATTAGTTAGGAAGAAAAGAATACTGTGGTGGAGGTTTCTAAATCACCTACAGACACTTTCAAAGCGAAAAAATAAGAAAATCAACAAGAGGAAAATAATAGTTCAATTGTTGTTGCAAATAAACTGAAATCAAAAAGTAAAATGTCAAAATTTAATATGTCGCTAAAGTCAACTAACATTTAAAAAAATTATGCTAAAGCAATAGCCTAATACATCATTAGATAGAGGGTCGAAATATTAAGATAACTAGGTGAAAAGGGAGGCCTTGAATTTCTAAGAATTTTAACACAATTAAAAAATAGTATAAAAAATATCAACCAAATCAAGAAGCACTTAATTGATAACGATTAACTAAAGCTATTTAGAATTATTGCTAACAGATTTCTAAGAAAGGAGGCTATTGGATATGTGTATAACTCAAATATAAAATCCACAAGTGATCACGTTTAATAGAGAAATCAAATAATACTAAATCTCTAGAGTTATTGAATAAAGAAGAGTAAAGAATATGAATTTTTATATTAATTTTATTTATACACACATTAAGACAACCTAAATTATAAAAGATTGTTATCTCATACTCGCTCTTTGTTATTACAATTAAATCAAAAAGTCGTTTTTGTGTTTAAAATTTTATCAACACCAAATTCAAGGATTGAAGAAATCCTCATTCTACTCTTTTACAATATTATACTATTAATTCAAAATTCTTTATTTTTTAATTAGACTAGTAATGCTTTATAATTTGAGCTTATAGAAACTATTCTCCCTTAAACAAGATTTGAATATAAGACAAATTAGTTTGAATAAGGGTACCCTAGCCTTCTTAGAATTCTATTTTTATTCCAATCTATTAATTAATTGTTAATCGTTAAATTAGAATTATATAATTATTCTAATATTATATTATTATAATATTAAATATGTATTAGGTAAATTAGGGTAGAACAAAATAAAAATCATTGTATTTTACATTACTATTGGCTTGAAGATTGAAGAGAATTAATTCTTCTTGTTACGATACTAACATTTATTTATTTGAAAATTTATATTATAATCAAGCATAATCGAGATAACACATTAAATAGTACTTGAATGTTTTACACATAAAATAATTAAGAATAGTTTTTTGTATCAATAATTAATTTATCGTATAATGTGTGGAATATTTGCATTAATTTTAATAAACAAACCTCATAAATTCAATTTCAACTTATATTAGGAGTATTTGAATTCTCCTTATATTACTAAAAGACCAGAACTAATTGAGGAGTTGTTAGCTCAAAATTAAAGACCTTTGAATATTGATCTTGACTTAGATAAGCTACAAATGCTAAATGCGAGAGGACCAGATTATTAAGGGAAAATCGAACTTCAATAACCTTATTACTAACTCCTATATCATAGTTTACTACACATGAGAGGAGATTAAAATACTTTAATTAAACAACCTTTAATAAAAGAATAATTTATATTGTAATATAATGGAGAAATCTATAATATAGATCCTGATGAATCAGACACAACATTTCTCATGAATAGATTACAACAGGCCAAATCAATTCAAGATATCAGAACTCTACTATAATAATTAAATGGGGATTACAGTTTAATTTTCCAAGATTTATCCTAATAAAAAATATATATCGCCAAAGATCCATTTGGTAAAAGATCTATGTTGCTAAGTTTCATCAATGAAGGATTTATATTGTCTTCCTAAGCTTTACAAAAGAATCTCCCAATAGAGATGGAGGAAGAAGAAGATGATGAGGATGATGGAAAGACAGTTGATGAAAAGTATTTAATGAAAAAGTACTTGAACGAATTTAATTAAGCTATAAACAAATCTTGTATTGAATTGCCCAATAATTCAATCATAGAGATAGATTTGAGCGGTGAGTAGATTTAATGGAATAAAATTTAAATATCTGATTTCTTAAATTTTGATCAAATTTAATAAATTGATCCTTAAAATAATCTAGAATAAAATATTGGTAAAATTTATGACATTTTAATACAAAGTACAAAAGAAATTATTTAAAATATATTTGGTTTCTAACATCACTTTATTAATGGTTAAAATCTTATATAGAACCAATAACAAGGAAGAATTGGTATTTTATTTAGTGGTGGTATAGATTGCAGCCTAATAACTCATATGGTTTGCAAATTATTGCCAGATAACTCAAAAATTGATTTAATTAATGTCGCTTTCACAAATGATGCTCCTGATAGAATCACAGCCAAAAATGCTCACCAAGAATTATAGAATCTGCATCAAAATTAATAATTGAATCTAATTCTTATCGATAAAACTCTGGATGATGTATACAAAGAAGAGAAACTATTTTTAGAGATATTATATCCTAAAATTACACATATGGATTTTAATATAGCTATGATACTGAATATAGCCAGTTCGTATAATGTTGAAACTAGAGTACTTCTCAGTGGATTAGGAGCTGATGAAATCTTCTGTGGATATGCTCGATATAAACATGCTTTAAAGAGGGGATATGCTGAATTAATTGAAGAAATGAATTTTGATTTATTTAGATTGTGGAATAGAAATTTAGGGCGAGATGATCGGGCTGTTAGTAAGAATGGTAAAGAACTTCGATTTCCCTTCTTAAACATTGAATTAGTTTAGTTCATAAGATAAAATATACATCCATCTTAGTATATTATGGGGGATACTAAATCAATTTTGAGGATTATTTGTCAAAAGGAAGGTTTAAAGTAAATAATTGTTTTATTATTTAGTGTTATCTCAAAGCATGGAAAGAAAGCCATACAATTTGGAACAAAAATAGCGAAACTATCAAATAAACGATTCTTTGGAGGGAATAAAAAAGCAAAGGGGACTTCAAATTACAATATTAAGTGAAATTATTTCGATGATTAAACATGTCTTATAAAATTAATTATTATTACAAAATATATTAATATTAAATTATATTAATAAATAATAAATTATTACAAATAACACTATTCAATTATTGTTTAGAATATGGTTAAAGTTGGATAAATTATAAATTAATATAGATGTTGATTTGTATTCAATTTCTCATACTAAAAAACAGTATTGTTTTAAGTTTTTTTTGATTGAAATATTAAAGTTGGTGTTCATTTTATGGACATTATATATCAACCAATAATAAATGATAATGAAATTATAAAAAATATATCATTTTTCTAGGTTTAAATAGAATCGAGAAATGACATGATTTCAGATGATGATTCTTTTTTCATGAAAATTAATTTACAAAATAGGTCATTAATAAAAAACTTAATATCTCACATATCTCATAAAGGTTATTAAATATTCATAAAAGTTTATTGATTCTAAATATATTAATTTAGATACATTTGTGCAATAATATGAAGAACAAATAAAATATTGTTGACACCCAAATCTTAGGTTTAATGAGATGTTCTAAAATAGCGAAACAAAAGTTTAAAGAACAAAAGGAATATTATGCAATAAAAAAGGAATTTTAAATAATTATAAACATTCCACGGGAATTAGGCATAAGGGAATACTTAAGAACAGATATTGATATCATATTCAGCACTGACTATTAAATAACCTCCAATTTAGGAGAACTGTGCACAAATATCTTTACAGTAGGCTATAAAATTTTACAAACTGATTACTTTTAGGATAAGCAGGCATTTACACTGTTTCCAAGAAATTTGCAATGTGTGAGCATCGAGGTTATATTTGATTTATTAGAAAAAATGAACTTGCAGAAAAGTAAAGAAGACATTAAAAATTTCATGCTTGATCATAAAAAGAGAAATATTTAAATAAGCTCATGTAATGATTTGAATTACGTTGACTCATATGCTTCTCAATTTCCATTTGAATCTTACATAATAAAATATGATTCTGCAGGATCTAAGGTTCTGAAATATATAAACAATGTGAAATATCTTCATTTGATGGGTATAACTAGAGAGATGATGGAATGCAATTTAATTTAGACACAAATGTTACCCTGCGCCATAAAATTCGAGTCCTATTTGGATATTTGGAGCAAAATGTTTGAAGCAATCTCGAGAAAATCAAATTTTTTTACAGCTGAATTATAAAATTATAATGGTTAAAGAAGTTTTGTAAAAATGGAACAAAGGTTGTTATACTTAATTCAAGAAAACGACAACAGCGTACTCTGTCATCTCTATTGGATCTATCATACAAACCCAGACCCTGCAGTAGCTGAAGAAAACTATAAGAAAGAATTAGATTCCTAAAATCCTAAACCAAAATAATGTTCATTTAAATAAATTTGCAATTGATTAACTTAATTTTTTAATAATTTAACATAACAATATCATTCTTTCATTATTGAGCACCACCTGCTTACTTTCCTGCTCTCATAATCTATAAATTAATATAAATATTTACCTCATCAACCAATAATAATTATTAAGCCAATGTAGGAGCAATGTTCAACCATGATCTTTTAGAACAATAATTATCGAAAATGCCATTAGCAATGGGAGCAATGAAGCCTTGTTCATTAACATTGACACCAACAGGAATATTATTTTTAATGAATTCATCAGTAACCAAAAGGAGTGTTTCTTAAACATCATATCCACAATTCTCTGCAAGGGCTTTTGGAATAACTAATAATGATTCAGCAAATGCTTAGACTCCCAATTTAGCCTTTCCAGCAACAGAATCCTTAAACTTTTAAAGATGAACACTGGTGGCAATTTCAAAGGCACCAGCTCCAGGAATAACACACTTATCTTCAACAGCATTTTTAACAGCTCTTAATCCATCTCTAATAGCATCCTTGATTTAGGCAATAGTATGTTCATTTGGTCCTCTAATTAAAATTGTGCATGATGTAGGATTTTACACTCCTTCAATAAATGTATATTTCTCTTCTCCTAAGGTATACTCTCTTAACTAACTATAAAGTAAGATGATTACCACTTCACAGTATCCGAGGTCACTTTCTGACATATCTTCAACTGCATTGACTGAATTACCACCACAGGCCTTTGCAATTCTTTCCATATTTCTCTTTTTTGCTCTTCTGATACCGACAATGCCTTCTTTGGCAAACATTTCTAAACAGACCGGATCAATTCCTTTTTAATTGATAACTGCAAATCCATAGCCATTCTTCTCACAAACCTTTCTCTTGAAATCAATAATTTATTGACATTTGTCATCTGTCAATTTTCTTTCAGATCTAGCTAATTTCTCTCTGTCTTCAGCTGTATTATAGAAGAATCCGCTGTGAACCTATTTATTTATTTTTAATTTACTTCAGTCTTCTCGTATTCCAATGAGACATTCAAATTTAAGATATAACATTTCTTTACAAACTTTGGCATATCTGGATGTCTTTGCTCCATGATCCAACACTAATCCTCTAATCAATTCTGTTTCTGCTCCCATCTTATGTTACATATGCATGATCTCAACCATAAATAAATCTATTGGCTTCTCTGGTACTTGAACTATTTTAGACTGCATCAACAACGATTTCAATTATTCTAAATAAAATTTTATCATATTAGTTACTGATTAGCAACGTCTGGAGTTAATTTACTAATTAATGAAGTTCTAGCCACATTTATTAATACAGCCTTATCAATTTATTAATACTTGAAAGTGTCCAAAAATGATAAAGCTTCCTTTCTAGCCAATTCAAATCCTTCAGTAATTACTCTTGGATGAATTCCCTCAGCTAATAATCTTTCTGCTTATTTCATCAATGCGCCAATCAAAAGAACATTACTTGTTGTACCATCTCCAATTATATCATCCTAAGCAGTTGCACTTCTGGCAATCATAGCTGCTGTAGGATGTTGAATTTGCATTTCTGATAACAGAACAGCACCATCCTTTGTAAGTTTTATTTATCCAGCACCTCCCACTAACATTTTTAGGGTTCCTTTTGGTCCTAGATTTGATTTCATCACTTCCATTAAGCCAGCTGCTGCATTTATATTCATTGCCAAGGCCTAATATTTACGAAGAACTTCAGCTTTGGAATTGACAAATTGAACACTACTCATTTTTTTATTTAAAAAAGAAATTTATTTAATTTTTGTATTTTCATAAGATTTGTATTTAGAAGTCATTTCTCTTAAAAACTAACTCCATTTCCTATTTGTTTCAATGCATCTTAAATAGCCGAAGCCTTGCTAATTAAAGATTTATCAACTGAACTCGTAATCCCCTCATTCAAACCCCAAATATTCTTAAAGAAGTCTTGAGAATTTGCACTATCATCTAAGTCTTTCTGTCTGTTTTCGATGTAGGTCTAGATATTTTATATCTCATCAAAAACAGTATTATATTCCTCTATTTTTGAATTGTACAGCTCTATCGTTGTATCCTTGTCTTATAAAATAGCTTGTCGTCTATCTTCGTAGAGTTATTGATTTCTATTTGCTTGGCTTATCAATTCAATCCTATAATCAATAGTGTTCATCCAAAACTAATCCAACAATTATTCAAGGTCTTTCAAAACTTTTCTGTCCTTGAAATCAAGTTGCAATAGCTCCTAAAGGGAACCTGCCAAGGTCAAAAGAGGAGAATCAGATTTAGCCAATGACGTTATTTTTGTATGGAATTCTTATAAAGAAGTCTTGATCTCTACAAATGAGTTTCCTCCAGAGCCTCCTTGTAATAATTCCTTAACAGTTTTTCTCATCTAAATGTATTTAATATTTTTATACTGAATCCACAGATTGTAAAGCGATGCTAACATCATCCATTTCTGATTTTGCTGATTCTTTCATTTTTGTGAAATCTGCATCATTTATCTTCAAGTCCTATTTTTGTTGATCTAAAATTCCTGCCCTGTATCTCAAAGCCTCATCCAACTCATTTTTATAAGGAGTTAATTAATCATTGAGTTTTGTTTTGTGTTTTGCCAGATCTACTTTTATTTAGCTTCCAGTTCTATCATGCAAAATAATTAACTATGATTATGTATTCAAATGTTACTTTTTAAAGTAATGCTGATTTCTATTGATTTGTGTCACTCTCGATTTATCTTACATGTTGAACATCACACAATAAATCAGAAATGGCTTGAGATAAATTGGGCCAGTTGAGTTTCGTTCTATCAGGATCACTCGAGGATAGTTAGGTGAATGCTTCTGCTAAATCTTATTAACCACAAACAAGCACTACAAAAACGGTGAATATTATTAGTTTTTTCATTAATTTTAAATATTCTTAATAGTAAAAATTCTTTGGTTCGAATTTCTTCTATTTAGTAATTAATTTATAAATTTTTACACATGAGTATCAATTATGCAAGTAAAGTATCATCTACAATAATCAAGAATTGGGAAAGCGTAATCGAAGACTATCTTTGAATTCTGACCTCTTGTAAATGCATAAATCTTCATAAGTACAATGTATTTATATTATAAGAATGATAAAACATTCACTAATTTATTCTCTGTTTCACTTCATTAATCAAAATAAACAATTAACAATAAGAAAAAGAATAAGAATATCTCTGAAGTAGACTTGTAATAATTTCGAAATCAATAATAGGGAAACTCCATTTGGAAATCCAAAAAACAAATTGGTTAACTCTAAACCAAAGAGAGAAAACACAAGAAAGAAATTTTCATTCGAAGATACAAACAAATTGAGTAATTTTCTAAATGCCATTGATGACTTTATAAAACAAATAGACGAGAGTTCAGATTGTCATACTACAACCTATGATTCCTAAAGCAGATTAGAGAATATGTTATTCCTTAAATTTAATATTATTCAAAAAAAGTAAGAACAATTAAAGAATAAATACAAAAATTTAGAACAACATTATGTAGTTGAAAATTATGAGAATGGAACTCTTAAAAATCAACTGTTCGATTTGAATAATAAGCTGGAAGAATTGAAGAAGAAAAATTTTATATAACAATTAATTTTAGAAAAGTAAAAATTAAAAAATAAAGAGTTGAAATTGAGATATCAATATTTAACAAATTCGTATCTAAGAGAAAAACTCAAGTGTGAAAATCAAAAGTTAAAAATACTGTAGAGCAGTATGCCAATCAAAGAAAGCTATATTGTAATAATGCTTAATGATATTTAGATTCAAGATACAAATTAATCAAATTAGATTATGGATTATTACAGTGTTAGAGAATTTCTTAAGACTTAAATTAGAAAGTTAAAATATAATAATAAATAAATTGATGATTATTCTAATCTTTATAAAAAATATAGTGATCATAACATTGAAAACTTTTGATTAATTAATTTATGATATAAAAAGTTGTATAATTAGTTCAGAGAAGGTCAATTCAAAGATTTTCTAGTGTGTTTGTTGCACATAGAAATAGAGATGACAATAGTGATTCAGTGCCATTTGATTTTACAGATGAAAATTATAAAAAGATTGAAGGAATATTGTCGAAGTTTCCTTCCAATGAAAAAAAATCAGGGACTATCCCATTATTAATGCTTGCTCAAAAATAAAATAATAACTTTTTGAGTTTATCTGCAATGAAAAAGGTTATTCTAATTGTGTATTAGATAGATTGCAAAGATATTAGAAATCCCAGAAATGGATGTTTTTGAAACAGCTTCATTTTACTCAATGTTTAATAGAGAACGAGTGGGTAAATTCCATCTCCAAGTTTGTGGTACAACACCATGTTAATTGTGTGGATCTAAAGATATAATTAAGGCTATTGAATAACAATTGAATATTAAAAATGGAGAGACTTCAGCAGATGGTTTATTTACTTTGTAGGAGGTTGAATGTTTAGGAGCATGTGCTAATGCACCAATGATGCAAGTGAATAATGAATGGGTATATGAGGATTTAACACCTGAAAATACTGTACAATAATGATATTATGATAGTTAAAATTACTAGAAGATTTGAAGAATGGGACAGACAAAAAAGGACCTTAGAATGGCAGAAAGAATGCTGAAGGTCCATAAGGTAGAACTACTTTACAAAACATTGCAAATTAATAGGATATTAAATATGATAGAAATTTTGAGGCAGCCAAAAAGGAATGGTTGGATCAAAAAGAGAAGGAGAGACTTGAAGCTGAAAAAAAGAAGCAAGCAGCATAGCAAGCTAAAAAATGAAACCATTTTCAATATTAAATATAATAAGAATAAAAATTGTTGCATTTATCATGTAAATTTTTGATTTCTGCATCTATCTTAGTAAACCTACTAGTGATTAGGAAATGGTTTGATTTTTGGTATCATAGGAATGGGTAATCCTTATCCCTATTCTTACTCCATTTAATTGTTTCATTTTTTTCGATATCTTCTGGGGGTTTTTAGAAGTAATTGGAAATTTTATTTAAGGGATCTCAAACGATTCCTTAATTTTACTTATAATTTCTTAATGTTTTTCTCGCTCATTCATCCAAGGTTAAATCAGGTAATGACATTATTTCGATTATTTTAAATGTCGCCTATTCAATTTCTTTTTAAAATATCAATAATTTAGCTTCATCATGCATATCTTGAATATTGTTGTTGTTTTTGTGTATCAACTCCATTTTCCTAATTTAATCAAAGATTGTTTTGGCATGTTCCAACAAGTTCTTTTGAAATTAAGCATTATAGTTTAGTAATTATAATCTATAAACCGGATCTTATAATTTAAGGATGTTTTAAATTGATTGATATGCTTGACGAGTAGTATCTCTTAGCTCCTCTTCAAATGCGCATAATTGCAATCAGTAATGTTTCTGCATTAGCCCTGCAGATAGAAATTGCAGATTTTAGTTTTCCAAAAGGGATTCAAAAGTTATCCCTATATTGACATTTTATTAATCACAGTCATATTAGTCTGTCCTTCATTGTTTATTGAAAAGGCACTTTATCAAATATTCTTGTGTTATGTGACTCAATTCAGTTTCTCCGTGAGCATAATTGCATTTTTCCTGTTTGGCACACTGCCCTTCCAAAGGCAAGATTATGGATGATGTTACTTATTGATCTATGAGTACAAAGTTTAGATTTGTAAATATGCTTGATTCTTTATTTTATTCTTAACTAAAATTCATTTAATATAATATAAATAAATTAAAAAACGGCATGAAGACCCTCTTGTTATTGCTAGTTGTTGGTGTACTGTGCCAAAATGAAGTTGACACAGTCGAGAAATTATTGGCTGACTTAAAAGGAGCATCAGCTGTTGAACTTACAGCACTTAATACAGATTATACAGTTTCTAAAAATGTACGATTCTAATAAGCATTTTAGCTCAAAGAGAATATCATATTCAATTTAGGTAAGGCCTACTAAGAATAAAACTTTTTATGCGCAAGTCGAGATAAATCTGTCTCGGATAGAGAATCAGATATTGATAAAACAAATAAATACATTGCATATTTATAAAAGAGACTTGTTGATAATGCCAACAGAATTCAGACTCTAGATACCAATAGGTACAATGTCCCATTTATAGTAGATGCACTCATTCCTCAAATTATATTGAAAGAGTCAAAAATGATAATATGACTTTAAGATTGATAATATTTTTGAGAAACTCTCTTTAAAATTTAGACAATAACCAATTAAATAGATATGGTGCATACGTTGAAAAGTTTTTAACAATGTACAAATAAGCCAAAATATCAGAATTGGTCGAATTAGCACATGAATTTGCAGACACCATGTTTATTGACTGGAATCAGGTTACACCTTCTTCATAAGGAAACATTAATACTGTAAAAGGATAACTAATCGAAATGCTTAATGATATGGAAAGGTATATTAGAGAACAAATAAAAAACGCATAAAATCTTGAAATTGCCACTGGAGTCACTCTGGCTGATTTCAAGGGAGCTATTGATATCGAGAATGAACAGATCAACTATGATCTTTCATCTGAATAAAAAAACCTTATAAAATTAGATGAACAATTAGTGCAGGCAAGATTGGCTGCTGTTAATTGCAGAGAAAAAGGAGTTGCCCTACAATAGCAATAATAAAGAGCTATTGAAGTACACTATGTTTATAATATTGATAGGACTTAAAAAATGAAGAAATTCAATACAATAAAAATAAGGCAAGATTGCAAGAGGAACTCAATTTATTTACTGATGTTTACAGAATTTATTCTACTTAAGTTGGAACTTCCGAAGACTAATTCAAATAGAGAGTTGATGATTATGTTAATGATAGGGTATTTATTGCTATTCTATAACCATTTTAGAAAGTCGATTCGTATGAGAGATCTGAATATTCTTTAAGTGATGCAGTCAGAAAATAGGTTCAACATGAATGAGATATCCATCCAATTTAATAATATCTAGATCATTTACACTCTCTCTAATAATTATTTTTTTATATATAAATAATGAGCTTAATCCGTTTTAATATATTGGCATTGACAATAGGAGTTTGTTTATCAGCCATGACTCCATAAGCCTCATTATTGATGAAGTCATTTCATTAAGTATATACAAGCATTAAACTCCCTAGTTTAGCCAAAGTCCCTATAGTGATTAATTGAAGGAATTAGTATAAATTAAATTAGAAACAGGAGGATAAGTAGATGAAGTCTTAAAACTTATTTAAGAATTGTTGGATTCATTAAAATAAGATCAAGTTGACGATGATATTGCTCATTCAAGATAGATGGCAGTTTTTGATTTGAATATTAGTGAATTAGAAGAAGATCTCTCAAGATTAAACACAGATCTAGCTAATGCTAACATATTGATCTAGACCTTAGCCGAATAATTGATCATCCTTAGAGAAACCATCATAACCTATGAAAAACAATTAGCAATTCTTAATGAATAAGAACAATTCATCAGAAATGCCAGAGCTGCTGATGTCAAGGCTTATAACAGAAGAGTTGAATAGGCAAATAAAGTTATTAATGCATTAACCTTAATCATTGAGAAGTTGAGTAGAGCAGTTGATCAATAGACCTCAGAATAAGATAGATAAACAATTTTGACTTAAATTCACGCTGAATGCCATGAATAATTTGGTCCAAATCACCCCATCACTATTCTTATAAAATTAACTACCAGATTTGATGTTCCCACTGTCTAAAGAATATTAGAGAAACTAGAGTAAATTAGAGATGGAGCCAACAAGAGTTTGAATGAAGACATTGCAGCTGAAGAAGTAGCTTCTAAAAATTTTGATACATCCATGGATGAAATCGAAACTCTCAGAAAAAGATTGTCAACCGATCTAGAAAACCTAAATCAATAATTTAATGACAAATTCAATCAATAGGTAACACCAATAAATAAGTTTATGTTAGAAAATTGTCTTGGCTCAAAAGGAACAATTGCTAATTGATATTCCAATCACCGAGGAACTTTTACAATTAACTAAGGAATAATAAGAATAATATCACCAAGCTTATTTAAGCAGATAAACTTAAAGGTATTTATTAATGAACTATCAGATAATCTGAAATTGAAGTAGTCTAAAAGGCCTACAATTTAGTCTTTGATCATGTGGATTCTGTCAAAAAGTCAGAAGATCTAACGGCTAAACTTTCCAGTTGATTAATATGAAAGTAATAATAATAAGAAGAAATCTTATATAAATATTATAATTATAATTCATTTTTTAGTTTGTCTACTAATTTTGCCATATTATTATTACTAATATTATTAAGAAGTTCTTGAAGTATTGTTATTCTGAAAAAACTGGTCGTTCTATTTCGATGTTCTAGGATTTCTAGCTATCATATCATATTTTCGTAAGTAAATATATTTTTCCAATAACAAAATTTCCTTATCTGTTAGGTTTTTTAAGAAATGCTCTATTCCAGCTTTTCTTAGTAGATCCTCGCTTTCACTTTCATCCTCTGACTGGAAGGTTAAAAAGTCTCCCTTTCTGTATCCTTCGAATTCAGTTCTATTTTTGATATTTTTTATTCTTACTCTGAATCATAGGGTATTATTCTTTGAGGTAAGATTGGTTCTGGGATCCTCATTGTTTATTACAGTTCAATTGCAGTGGTTTTATATTCATCAAGAACAGATTGTGCTCTATTGGACTTTGCAATCATATTAATTTATGTATTAACATCCTAATTTGCGGTAAATATCCTTTTCTTCAATTCAAAACTCCCATTTAAACTTTGGGTTTATTTTTCTTTGCAATTTGTTTAATATGATTTATGATGCATTTAAATCTGTTATGGGATTTTTTTTTATTAAGAGTGAGACTTCATTTAATTTACAAGATTTCCCATTCTGTTAGAATCAGCCATAATGGTTTTCTGCAACTCAAATAATTGTTATTATTAATGAGGCTTAACATATGGAGAATGATTATAACGATGGGTTGTTTATAAACTCTAAGGTTATTAATAATAAAATCGCGTTTATGTTGGTTTCATTTTATTCTTAACTTATTATTTGCTAGACACTTTGCTTTTCAATATTGTAGACTGGTTTGTCTTTTCACATGAATACGAATCCTATTTAAGTGAAGACTTAATATCTATATACTCCCTAAGTTATCATATAAGATACTTTTATTAACTATACGGTCTTGTTATTCTCTTCCCTGTGCTACTTTTGGCTTCTGTGGGGTTCCCTTTATACATTAAATTTATTATATATTATTATTTATTTAATATAGAAATATTCAATTACTATCTTTGATAGTCACATTTATCAATTAAGATGAATATGTTATAAAAACAAATTTTACATCCTAAAAATTCAAAAATACTTTCTGTTATAAATGTATAATAATTATAAAAAGTTTAATCAATTGTAAGACAATTTCTTATTCTATAAACATTTATAAGAATTATAGATTTTGTTGTCATCCAATTTATTGAGAAAAGGAACTAATTATATAATTCTATGAATTATTATTGTATAATCCTATTAATCGTTAACGTTTAGCTTATTTGATTTATTATATTTATTAGCAATAATTATATTGAAATTTTCTAAAATTATCAGATCTGGTATAAAATTGTTAAAAACGAACTAACCTCATGCTTTTATAAAGTATATTACATAGCTAAATATTACTTCTTGATCTGACAATCTTCATTATCCATAATGAAAAGAGGTTGCTCATAAATATCTTCTAATATTCATTTTATAGATTTAATTTTAGCAGTAAGTATTTAAATTACATATTTGTAAAATTAGAGATTAAGATTTATTAAATAAGATTATTTATTTTGTAATGCAGAAGAATTTCATAGGATCTAAGTAATATAAGGAAATATATAAAACTTAATTTATTAAAATAATTAATTCATAATATAGAAACTAGCCTGAACTTATCTAAAAAGTCGCTTAACTATCCGAGGAATTCATTCAGCTCTTCTTAGTATATTGGACTTAAGATTTTACTTACTTGCTCAACATTTTAGATTGGTCTGTTGATATTTCGAAACATTTAAATATAAGTGTCATGAAATTGATTAATATCTATTTTGATGCTCTTTTTTATTTCTGATAGTTATTTGCTTTGAATAAGATTGTTATATAGATTTAACCTTTCACAAAGCTAGTTTATTCATTATATAGGTACTTCTTATTTCAATGTCTCCATTTATCTTCTTAACTCAATAGCTTAACTTGAATTAATTATAATTAGTTCTTTGCCTTTTGGTTCAGGATTTTCATGCAAACGTTCTAATAATAGTTTATTCTATTCTATGAGAGGGGATATTAAATCGACTTGAATTTCTTTGTCACTCTATTTAATGTGCGTTTTTGAAGAATGATTCTATTATGCATTGTTTAAATTAAAGGTTTAGTTTTCTTATTTTTGTATTTGACGTTCTAGATTTGCAATGGTATTATTAGCGATTATAATTTCTTCGTTTAATTGATCATTCATCTATTATAAGAGTTGCAATTGCATCTTTTAATCATTAAAACGTTCTAAGAGCTTTTAATACTCATTATTATCTTGTCTTTCCTCATAATATTTGATCTTCTCTTTCAATTAATATATTAACTTTAACTAACTTTCATCATCTCCTTTGTTTCCTTTAAAGGTTTCCATCTTTTGAACATTCATCTTAATTGAATCTCTATTTATACTATTTCTTTATGGAGGGACACTCGTACTGTTCTATTTGATTGTCAAATAATTATCATTCTACTATTTTAGATTTTCAGCAATCCCTTAAAAATAATCTCTTAATCCTTTTACAGAAGATTGCCTTTCTTCCATGTTTTATAAAATTAATGTATTAATAATAATTATTATTTAAATAACGATTAGTCTATTGGAGAAAAGAGAAATATAATAAGTTAACATAAAACAAAGTAAAAATGAATTCCTTATTGTTTTTCTAAACTCTTCAAAATTAATTTATGCAAATCAGATTCTCTAAAATGTAAATAAAAAATTATTTCAAATTTATATTGAAACTACTTGGTTTATAAATAAGAACTTTTGTAGAAAGAGTTAAGCAAATATTTAATCAATAACATAAAAATAGCAAAAATGTTGATGGGTTCACAATGTACAAATTGCAATCCATCATAGCCTTTAAAAATGTTAGAGGTTATTTAATGATCTGTTCTTGATTATCTGAAATATGTATGTTAAGGAAAATGAACAAGGATTTAATGTTACAATGAAGGTCATATTTAATTGTATTTATAATTTTAATATACATTTATATATTTAAATCATATATATTTTCATTCTCATATAACTGGATATGTGATCTTTTTTATTTTGTCTAGGCAATTAGCTTCTCCATTTTTTGCTACTTAAAAGTAACCGTTCATTCCCCATTTGGCTCCCCAAGAATTTTTTGCAAACCAGGTTTAAGTATCATATGCAACGAATGAAACAACATGTTAATAATTAGAAACTTTTGGATATCCGCATGTATTGATAATTCCAGAAGTGTATCTGAGCCAGGATTCGTCTGCATACATGAGGGCTGTGACTGGACCAGTTTACATAGCGGTTTCAATATCAGCATTAGTGAATTTGGTTAATCCTTAGACAGATTTGAATTGCTTGTATCCAATTGATCCTTTTGGTTTTGAACATTCTCCCTCCTTCTAATCATATTCTCTATAATCTTTCTCATAAACAGTTCCATAATTGTTGATGAAATCAAATGCATCGCTAACTGAACCTCCATCGCATCCTGCAGTATTTCCATCAGCACAGTCAATCAAATGAGTCTTTGACAATTAATCAAGCTTGTTTTTATTTGCAATAGCCAATCTACTGATTACAACATCTTAGACTGCAAATGCCCAACAACTACCACATCTTCCCTGTTGTTATACATCTGTAATCTAAACATTGAATATAAAGTACAATACCTATTTTAGCCAATCTAAACTTGGTGGATTCTTGGGAGCAGGTGCCGCTGTTGTCTTTACCACTTTTTTAACTACCACTACCGTTTTATCAGCTTATAAAAACGAATTATGGGATAGTGCATCACTTTTGATTGCATTGATATCATCTTCATTGAAAGTCTCGTAATGTTAATCAAAGTCTCTCTTCATAAATATCTTATCCATCAACTCCTCAGATGTCTCATCAGAAAAGACATTCAATCCCCAAACATCTTTTGGTAATTGTTCATTATGATGCTAAAAGTACAATTAACCATTAAAATACCTTCATGGCTCTATAGTTCTTAACAAAGACTTCCATTCTGTAGATCATTTCGAACTCATTGTTGTATTCTTTTTGATTTTCCTAAACCCAATTCTTGAATTATCTTTATTCTTCCTCTCTCCATCCATAGACAGATCCATTTTCATGTAATGCATCACCTAGGCTTGTACTTGAGAAAGTTGCACCTAATACATATGATACCAAAACCAATATCTGAATTATTTTCATTATATATTAATTATTTATAATGCCTTTACCCTCAAATATAGCTTGTCCATTTCATTCTAATTAATAGTATTATATTTCAGCAGTTTGCCTATACGCCCATTGTGAACATCAACCAGCTCTATGTGTGGCATGTCAAAAAGACTTTCATTCAGATCATTAATAATTTTGTTATACTTTTCAAGAAATCGAAGAAAAAACCAAGAATTTAGATTCAGTTATGGATATCAAATAATCCTATATGATATTTAAGAAGGAAATAATCGATTTGCTAAATTTCATAGGATTAACCATTCAGCAATCAACATTTTCGTTTCATTCTCGATTTCTGTCATCAGAATATAAATAAATTAGCTAGTAAACAATTAACGAACTTGGAAATGCCTTGCGAAACACCCAAGAATAAATATCTAAAAGACATTAAATCATCTCCTATTTCAATGAGTTTTTAGCTGAGTTCGAGAAAAGGACCAAGTAATTCACAGGATAGATTAAATATTAATATCCCAAACAATAAAAGAATGTAAAGAATATTTAGAGAGACGACACAAAATCTAGATTAGTAAAAAGAAATTCTGAAATCATCAGTAATTCCAGATCCAATAATACATCTAAGGTTGAATTAAGCAAAATCTCCAGAGCACAATCAGATTTCTCTATTGATAATAACTCTAAATTTCTTCAACAATTGGATTTCAATAAAATCCTATTTAGATTAGATTTTAATCAAATCTAAGGATAGGCTAATATTATCAATGACTATTCTATTAAATCAACTACTGGCTGTATCGCCTTATTGCATCCTCCTCTAAATGATATAATCAATAATTACATCAAGTTATCCTTCAAAATTCAAAAATGCCAAGGATTAGTTTGCATAGGGGTTGCTACAAATACTTAGAAATGTAGCTTTGCTAATCTAGATTCCAAAGGAAGTACTTAAATGAGATAATTATATTTTAGAAGTTTACACTAGCTGGAATTTCTTAGAACATAATAAACAATCTACTATCAAATTTGGATAATCAGATACAATTATTTGTTATGTGAATAAACATTAAAAAACAGTTGAATTTTCTAAAAACGATGTATTGATTTGAATATTTAGAGAAACATTGAAGTTAAATTAACCAAAGTAAACATGAACGATATGAAATTTTATATATACTTACATTATGCGGAGATAAGTATCTTGAATAATAAAGAGATATTAAATTTTTGAATAAAAGATTATATGTCATTTAGAAATAAATAATATATTGTAATATTCTCATTATATTGAATAAAATATTTACTTCATATAAAATATTGTTGAAATAATTATGAATCTTACAGAAAATATCATTGATTTATCTGAAAAAAGAGACAATAAAATTAAATAGGAACCAAAAGTAAACCTCAATAAATTCAAGTCTTTTTTTGGAATAGCTGGTAAAATGATTCAATAAAAAACCATAAACAACACATTTTCTTTCTCAAAATTGAAAAAGGATGTAACGTCAAATTCACCTTATGCTGATATTCAGGATCTTAACTCAACAACTTAGAAAAATGAACAAATTCCATAATTTGAATACTAGTAAGAGCATATACCTAATAAAAAATTTGAACAATCAGACATTTAAATTAAGGATTACAAATTAAATGGGAATTAGTCCTAAACTCAAAGAATACCATTAAAAAAGATCTTTAATGAACAGAAATAATAACAAAAGGAAAATAATTCATAAGATAAACAAATGAACAGGAAATAAAATAATTAATTAATATAGCAAACTTAAACAACGCAATAGTAAACATTTGATTCTGCAGACTAAACAACAAATCTTTAAAATATTAATAAAAGATAATTCATAATGTAGAGAATGGAAGAAGAAAAAGCATAGAAAGAAAGAATAGCTAAATAATAATAAGAAGCTAATAAACTCATTAAATAAATTTAAGAACGAATCAAATAAAAAGAATCGCTACTTAAACAAAAAGAAGAAGCTATCATCTTAACTGAATTAGAAAAAAGAAAAGTAATTTTTAATATTATCAGAGGCTGTCATGACATAAAGAAGAGAATTAAGCCAACCAATCAGACTAAATGACTTAACTGAGCATCAGAAAAAATATGAAGAAGATAAAAAAGTCAAAGAATATGAAAGAGAACATCTGAAATAAGAACATGATTTTAAAATTAGATAAAATACCTTAAAATTTCCTAAAAGTTAGACCCAAATGAGAATAGAAGAAGAAGAAAAGTATCTTAAATAATTAAAGGAATAAGACATTAAATTAAAGTAAATTGCAAGATAAAGATAATTTAAATATGCAAACTTTGCTCAAGAAAACTACTTCAGAGAACATCCTATTAAATAAAAGTAATCTCCTCCTAAAAAAGAAGTTTAACAAAAATAAATTCAAGAAATTTCAATTACAGAGCAAAATCTTAGAAAAATTAGAAGATATATTCCTTAAATACCTTAATAACATCATTTAAGCCAAGAATCCAAGGATTCAATTAATGATCTTAGCATCCATCTAGAAAATAAACCTCCGAAACCAATTAAGAAAAAAAATTATTTTAATTCTGAGAAAACACATAAAACTCCTGAATTACCTGCTAAGCCAAAAACAATTGATTATTTACAATAACTTAGACAATAAAGAAAAATGTAGAATATGACAGTGGATTAATTAGATAAGTAATCATAATTTCATTTATTTAGGAGTACAGAATATATTTTATAAGAGAACTAAAAGGATATACAACAAATTTTGGAAAACGTGTAAAAATTGGAATAAAAGGCTAAAGATAGAGAAAAAACAGCCTTATTGAAGAATGATATTTAAATGGAAGAAGAGGCCAACAATTTATACATAGCAACTATCAGAGCAAAATTAGCAATTTTAGACAAAAATTGAGTATTACTTTTCATGTGAACATTTTAAATAAATTTAACCTATTAAATAGTTTTTGAAAGGAGATTGCATGCCAATAAAACTAAGAAAAAGTGAAAAGTTAAGCTTCAAAAGAAAGAATGTACTATTTTTACCATAGGTCTTAAAGATGCAACTGAAGAACTAAGCAAGATTTATCATATTTAAGATGATTTGGAAGAGTATAATTTAATTTTTAAAGTATCTACATAATGTATGAAGTTTTATTTAAAAAAATCATCCTTTCTGTCTAAAGTACAAAGTAATGAGAGTGCCATCAAATTATAATAAATAAATTACTTAAAAACACAAGAAATAAATTATACAAAATATAATGATTTTAATGCCAAACTTATTTTAATTTAAAAAATAATAAAGTTTGAAATATACACAGTTTACGATAGAAATAAGAAATTTATTAACTCTGTGTCTATTAACAATATGAAAATAAACTAATAAAGACTTAATCTATGAATAACCTCATATTTAGAAAGAATCGATTATGATTTATTAAAAAAAGAATGAGAAGCCTTTAAAATGTTTCAACTGATCTTAGATCTAATTTTAATACGGAGTGCTCAAAATAGTTAACATATATATTTTAGTATATTATTGCTGGATGAGGTATATAATACATCATTGTTTTTGCAATTACTCATAATCTAGGTCAAAACTGATGGGCTTTGCTTCTGGATTATATTCATGTTACTCAATTTCTTCTTTTTCATTCTAAACATATAATATTAATATTACATCAATTTTAACATCTTATTAATTTTCTTTTTTGCTTATTTCCTTGTTTTACTTCATTCTTTATTTATTTTCTTTTCTTCTTTATTAATATTGAGCACTCAGGATCTTGGTCCAATATTCTTCAGCTCCTTTTCTTATCCTCTTTTCAATTTCCACTCTTGGTACTCCTTACATTCCAAAAATCTTATTTTTAATGTCACTTCTATCACCAGTGGCATTTGGAATTCTAGAATAAGATAATTTCCAATTACTTAGTCAAAACCTCATGATGAGCGGATTCTACATGGTTTTTTAATGAATCACATGATGAAAACTTCTTAAAGCATCTTTAGCAAGTAAAATGTTTTGCTTTTTAATGCTAATGCAAGTACACTTCATTTTTAAATGTTTTGTCACAGTAAAAACAAAAGGGTTTCAAATAAGACAAGTCTCTATTTTTCCTTCCCATTAATATATATAACTATATATATTAAAATTAATTTTATTAATATTCACTTAAGTTTAGGTAATTATTCAAATGGAGATACACTTTATTTGGACATATTCAAGACCTTTCTTTTGCTAACAAATCCGAATCCGATTCTGGCTAAAAATCGTTTAATGTGTATGCATTCATCACCACATCTTTTATGTATCTAAAATATAATTAGTTATTATTATTACTCTCATATAATTTTCATAATACTTTTTGAAATCGAAATAAGTGATTGTTTGAACACTCTTATTACAATAATTTGAAATGATCAAGAAAAGTTAATCTTTCCATTAATTTTTTTCCTTTTAAGCCAATGAAGTGAATAATTTTTTAATAGAATCTTCTTTAAGATGATCCTACATTATTTCCAAAGGCTTTCCCATGTTTTGTCGAATGACTTCTAGATCAAACTCCTCATCATTTTGAAGTTCATCACCAAAGACAGAAAAGAATAATTGCTGTTCTTTTTATTCTCTCTATTATTATTCTGGTGATTTTAAAATTTAAGTCTTAGATTTTAGCATGTCATCTAAAAGCTTCTAACTTGAAGATGTAGTTCTATGTTTATTCTTGTTCACTTAATCAGCAGGAGATACAGTTCCATAAGTAATGATATGAACATTATCTCCTGTGTTTATAAGCTGACTGACACTTCTAATACCTTAACTTGAATTTGGATTCATTGGACTGTTTGATCTTAAGCCATTTCCAATTCCATTTGGACTCCAAGGCTGATTTATTGACCCAAAGTTATTATTTTAATTTTAAGATCCTGAAAATACTATTTAACTTTGTTATCTACTGACAACTGGTGAATGCCATGTAGTTGGTTGGGTATGTAAATTCTTTTATTAATCGTCATCTATTTCATTTTTTTAATAGGCATAATTGTCTATTAATTCATTATTAGTGTATATATTTTATTAACTACTTGTTCTAAGTTTAATTGAATTTCTAATGCCAATACTTTTATCAAGATTCTTTAAACTATCCCTTTTGAAATCTCCTAAAGTGTCACCTTATAAAGTAGAATTTCTAGTTATCAATTTTTAAGACTATGTTTTTTCATAGTAATGGATAAATTATTACTCATTTAAAAATGCAGCTTCCAATCTTTTTAATTAATCTTCTGTGAGACCAAGATCACCTGCCATTTTCTAAAAAAGATTCCATAAAAAGAAATCATCTGTCTAAGTATTCTTCTATGAAATAGATTCTGCTTATGCTCTGTAAATTTACGATTCACTAAGTTTTTTAGTCTACTCTTCTAATTTTTCCTTCTCCTCTTATTACTTTGATGGTTATTAAATAGGAGATTAAATATGTTTTTATTATTATTAAGGAGGAATCTAAGGTTCCTATTTAAATGAAACTTGTATTCCAATATCTTTTGTTTTATTTTACTTATAAAAATCACATTAAATATCACTTTAATCCATAATTGATGGTTTTTTATGTTGTTTTTCTCCTTTCTAAGAATTCAATTCTTTAGCTGAGAAATTTGTAAAGGATTACTTATTACTTTTGGTTTCTAATTATGTAAGTGTTTGTCTACTATTTTAAATTCCAAACTATCCAGAAGAGGAATTTTAATCCTTTTTGGAACTATCATTGTTTACAGCACTATTATTTCGATTAGTCTTTAGATATCCTTATTTCTATCTAAATGTGATATTAGATCTATTTGTAGATTTGGGGCTACTGACTTATTCAATTAATTTATTAACACTGGCTTTCTTATTTATATCATCAATCTGATTTAATTGGATTAATTATTTTTTCTATATTCTGCTTTATTCATCATCTGTCTCTGATTAGGCCTATCTTCTTTATGTAGCAATTTTATCAAGATCTATTGACTCTTGTATCTAGGCATCAAATGGTTTTTCGATGTGACTTATTCTTTTTTTTTTATCTCTCCCTCTTTTCTTTGTTATAGATTACTGTTCATAACTGTCATCTTCATCTCCAGATAATTCATCTAGTTTTTCTAATGGAGATTCACAATTAAATTTTAATTTAGACCTCACTATTCGATATAACTCATTTGGTGCTAATCTTGCAATTTCTTCAGCTGAATTATCCTTTATATATTATAAGAGAGTATTAAGTGAGATTATTTTATTTTCAGGTGACAAATCACTTTAGAGTAATAATAATAAGACTTCTTCTATTTGTTTTGGTTCATTTAAACTTTACATCTTATCTTCCAATGCTTTTTCATGTAATAATTTTAATTCATCTTTCATCTCATCATTTTCCTCCACAATTTCTTATAATCTCAATTCAAATAACTCAACTCTTGGATCCATCATAGAGACCTAAACTTCAACATCTGATTTCTTTCCATTTTTAGATACTATTGTATTACACACTTCTATTTTTTAAGTAACTTTATAATTATCAATCTATTTTAGTAAACCTGCAAATTTCTTCTCTTATTCCTCAAATTTTTAAAATAATTAATTAATTTTGGCTTCCTTTTCAACTATCTAATCATTCTTGTCCCTTATTAATCTCTCTAATTCTTCAATTCTTTAAAAGTTTTAGTTCTTGTTGTTTTTTACTAAAATTCCTGTTGTTTTTTTCATTACAAATGCATCATATTCAAGTCTAATTTTTCTCTCTGCTGCTCTCATTATTCTTTCTGCTGTTTTCCTTTAAACCAACAATATCTTATCTTTAACTTCTTTTTTTATATCGAATTCCTCTTCCTCCTTTATCTCATTTGCTATCTTTATTTAATCAGTTATGTATAAATCGTTCTTAAAAGTTTCCCTCTCCATATGCCTACTAAGATCATTTAGTTTTTATGTGGCATGACTACTAGTTATTTCTGACCACAATCCTTTTAACTTCAATTGTTTTCTTAAGTCAATCAAATTAGCTTCATTTTCTTCTTAAATTCTCAACAATTCTTTTTCTGTCTCATTTTGTATGTTACCCTAAAACAATTTAATCATGGCATCATCACTAGTACTTGTACTTTTGTTTTCCATCTTCCTAAAGATCTTCTATTTATTCATTTTGAAGGTTTATTCTGCTTCTATGAAATCTGACTGTTTTTAAGAAAATATCTCTAAATTATATTAACCATAATGTACTAAAATTCTGCACTTCAGTTCCACCCAAGACAGTTCTCGTAGAATTAGGCTATCTCTAACAATATTCAATAGGTAACTCAGGAGCATTCACTACTTTCCTTGAATTTATCTCAAGAACCTTGTCAAAAACAAGAGCATAATTTGCTGATAATTTTTACAATAATGAAGCCTCAGGGTTAAGATCCTTACTCATTAAAATGAAACTCACTTCTTCAACACATGATTTTAATTTATCTAATATCTGTTAGAGCAATTTAATACATATTTTAAAGTGTTTAAACAGCCAGAATTCCATGTTACTAGTGGCTGCTTCTGTAATTCCAACATTGCTTTCTCAGCCATGTTATTTATTTTACTTAAAGTTTAATCCATTTATCAGAAAAATATTAATTACACTATATTTTAATTGAATTATAGAATAAATTTGTTAAAGTCAATGTAAATTATCTAAATATTGACTTAATTAATCTAAATCTTAAATAGTTGTCCATCTCCTCTCATGTATCTCAGTTATTTCCGGTAATCTATTAATAATCAAAAAATTAATAAAGGTTAGTAGATATTTATATCTTTTTTGGTAAAATCATCCAGTTTTATTTGAAATATTATATCAATATATTGAAATAATGAAGACTATAATTAATTAAACCAAAAAATGTTAATAAGGAATAAATAAGTTAGTGTCTAGAATTATGATGCTGAATTTATTGATTTAAAAAAAAGATTATATTTTAAGACTAAAATGCTGTGAAATGCAGTTTGATCAAAAATAGATCATTAATTATTTATAATAAAATAGGTTAAAGATTCTGACCACTGATAAATAGATTATTTCAATTTTTGATTAAAATTAACCCAAATTAATGAATATGAATTAATAATAAGCTTTAATACTGTATACATGGGTGACTTACCCCGTTAGGGACTTC